AATAAGCTAAAATGCATCTCACTTTAATGTGAAAGCTGTTCAAAACAACTTTCATATTAATGATTCATATAAAATATACTGGTAGGGTTAAAATGTGATGTATATGGATTAGTAGTTAGGGCTCTGCCCCTAAAATGCGTTGGTTGTGGGTTCAAATCCTGGGTGGAGTGTCCTAAAGCAAAATACTGCAGTTGAATTTTGCTTATTAAAACTTCTAGCTATATAAAAATGGGAACAATCCCAAATAGCTTTGTAAGAACATTAAATAGATCAATATTTATAATTAATTAATAAAGCAACAGGATCAAGGCAAGATTTACCCTGGACACTCCATTGCAGGGCAGACACACAAACAGAACCACTGACACTCACACCAGGGCCACGTTTCCCAGAAGCCAAGTGATCTACCAGTATGTCTTTGTGTCTTTGGACTATGGGAGGAAACCAGAGCACCTGGCAAAAACCCATGTAAATACAATCATAAAATCTCCATGCAGATAGCACCCAGGCCTGAAATTGAACCCAGAGCCCCAACACTGCAAGGCAGCAAACCTAATGACTATTACGCCATTTTAAGTAACACCTTTTTAAGTAACATGCAGCCTGATACTTTTACTGGTAGTCCGGATGATTTAAGGTAATATATAAACCATGCTATTACTGTACGTACTTGCTGTGTCTTTGCCTGAGGCCATAGAGAAGTTGCTTACCTTTTTGGGGTAGGGAAATGTGAACTATTAAACCTTCATTAAAGACAAAACAGAAAGTCTCCTTACTGAGAGAGAAATTCTCCCTTTTTATAGTATCAAAAACAGATACTTGCTAAGTAATACATTAAGTATTCAGTACTGTGAAGAACTACTGGCATACTCTATAAATATCTACCTTTTCTATGCAGTAATAATAGCCTAAAAAATGACCTGAACAAAAGATGGTTATCTGAGTAGTTTAGTGAGTTATGCTAAATTTATTAAGGACTGTAAAATAAGAATACGCTGTGGCTTGTCTTTCCAAAATACAGTACATGGGAGCAGGCACACCCCTGGGAGGCTGAGAAACAGTGCTGTGTTACTGCTCACTGTAGCACTGGCACAACCAGTGATGTAGAAGCCTGGACCGCTGATGAGGCACTTACATGCAGTCAGGCTTCTCATTTATTATTAAAGTGAAGCGGGAAGCCTTCAGTCAGACCATGGAATAGGGAGGTGATGTCACTTTACCTTTGCTTTCCTATTGGACTACGACTCATCATGCATCAATGGTATCATCATAGCCCATATTCCATATCCATTTTATATCACCAATTGGAAACAGCATGTTAACAAAAAAAAAAACACATGACTCGCTTCATTACTGTAATGTAATTCTGCAATAAGTAGAGTATAGCTCAGAACTATGAATATTCAGTACTTTTATTGGTAAGAGACTGACAAACCTGGACCAATAAGCTACAGTATGAAGTACTAGGCAATTATGGCAGACCAGATAGCCTCCTCCCTATCGTTACTCTTTATATTAACAGTAAAGCATAATGTGTTAATTGCTGTCAGTGCTGGGAAATTACATTTTAAAACATTTAGGAAATGGTAGAGCAATATCTTTCTTTTCTGTGTCTCATAAAACAAAATTTGCTGGCTTATTTCTTCTCCATCTTCTATTATGATGACCAAATATTTCACAGGACTAAATGATATCACGGTAGCCTCTATATAATAATTTAGTTTTAATAGTTGTGCTGATTTAATGTTTAATTTAATTTTCATTTAAAAGAGTTGAATCATCTTCAATTAAAGCTCAGTTTTGATACGGTTAATCATTAAGAGGCTTCCACAGAATATTACTCATCTGTGAAGAGTGGGCTTTAACACAATTTAACATTGCAACTAAAGTTGCAATTTATTTATAGCTAATTTTAGTTACAGATAGCTAAATTTGTTATTATAACTAATTTAAAGTTAGTTCCTGAACATTAGTGTTATACAGTCCATTCATTAGCTTCTTTCTGTCCTAGGTGCGTTGTTGTTTTCATTCATTTGGCTAAAGTGATTCCCAGAGGTTACAATTAACCAAGTTTTACAAGCATACTGTGGTGACAATTTACAGCTGAGTTTTCTGTAGCAATTTTGGTAAGGCACCTTACTGTTAGTGCCAGCAGGTACAGTATATCACCCTGCAGCTCTCAACTGGCTACCCACTGAAGCTAAGCAGGGTTGAGCCTGGCCAGTATCTGAATAAGAGACCTCCTGGGAAGCAATGGTTGCCACTGGAAGTGGTGTCAGTGGGGCCAGCAGGGGGTGTCTGTGTGGGTCCTAATGCCCCGGTATAGTGGCGGGAACACTATGCTGTAGTGGGTGCTGTCTTTTGGATAAGACATTAAACAAAGGAGGCCCTGACTCTCATTGGTCATTAAAGATCCCTGGGCATTTCTGGATAAGAGTAGGGAGTTATCCTGGTGTCCAGGACAAATTTTCCCCCTTGGCCTTTACTGTGGCCTTCAAATTGTCCCCATGTATGGCTTGCACCTGCCCTGTGATGGGCTGGCGCCCTGACAAGGGTGTACCCTGACTTGCGCTCGCTGCTTTCTGCAACACTGTAAGGTATAAACCGGTTTGGCAAATGACGTGACATGACCTTACTATCATAAATCAATAGTTATCCCAACCAAGAATTTAAAGGAGGTAATTCTGCCCATACAGCCGTGCCATCAGGGGCCCAGAGTCCTGACCATTAATCCACACTTCTAACCCCAGTCATGGTCTTGGCCTTCACTTCCTCTTTCATCATAATAATGGCTTGGGTACACCCTTCAAGGGAAAACAGCATTGAGATGACTATGACACACACCCTGCACAGATGTTTTCTGTTTCACTATAAATACTTACAGGAAACGAGGTTCTCAGTTTGAAAGTGTAAGTAAGAAAGTGGTGTTGTTTCTGTTTAAGTCCATAAGAAAACTGTGGGTGGCTGCTGGGGTCAAACTTCGAAAAAACACCGGTGCATAGAAAGTCAAGTGGTTCTGTCTGTCTAGAAGATGCTGGAAGCAATGGTAAAAGAGCTGCTGAGTCATTTAGCCTTGCTTACTCAACTTATGAAATGTTGAGAGCAACGTCACTTTCACTTCTGATTAAGGACAAAGGTCAGCTCATGAACCTTGGTCCAGACTCAGGACTGACACAATGGCATTTAATCTAATAGCCAAGCAGACTTTCAAAATCTGACAGGTGAAAATATTCTTCACTGTTTGAGCTGTTGCCATATTGCAGGTCCCTCTAAAAAACTAAAACAATGGTGCTTTGAAAAACAACCCAATTATAAGCTACACAACTGCCAAGAAACATTTACAAATATTGCATTTACCAAATCACATATTTTGCACAATCTTTCTTACATATTACTTCCAGAAATTCATTATATTTCAAATAACAACAGGTGAATTTGGCCTGTACTTGTTTAATATAACTTATAGTAAGTGGTTATGGTTTCAAAATATAACTAAAAACTTAACTGAAACACTGGTAAGAATAAGGTTTAGTCGACCCTATGCAGCTTTCTCATGAGGATATGAAAATACAAAACTTTTTTCTTTACAAAAGATATGTGTTTTATTGTGGCCAAAAATAAGCCTGGAACAGGAATATTAGTTTCACATGATGCATAAAGAAAAAAAACATTTGACTACTGTTTCACATAATTTGATGAGGCATAAGGGGATGTTAAACTAGTCTGAACCCAAAACAGACAAATAAGACAAAAACAATACCAGACATATATTCCTTGAAAAGAAGAAAAGGATTGGAGCTTTTTGAGTGTTTGGAAAGCTGGGATGTGCATTCCCCAGCAGTCTGAACATCTGAAATGAAAGATGATTTGGCAAGAAGGCAGTGGGAGAGTGTTGCTATGGCCATAGCCTGGTAAACAAATATACACCAACTTACTCGCTTTCAAAGCTGAGAACAGAAGACACAGAACCGATTTAACTTCGTTTTAAAATAGCCATGACTTCTACTCTTCTGCAATGCTTGAATGTAATAAGGAAACTACAACCATTATTTAAAGGAAGCAGAGTCATTCTACATGTAATGATACAATCTGGTCACCAAGGTTAAAATTATGCTGAGTCACAGAAGTTATTTTTGTATTAAAAATGAGTTTGCCTGTTTCTTTTAATAGAGTATGCCCCCAGCTGTGTGGAATTTTTGGGACACTTCTATCACAGTTCACAAAAAGAAAGGTGTCTTGCTCCTTTGTCTACGAAAGTAGAGTGAACTGAATCTCGAGGAAGTGACGTCACAGCACTAGTATCATTTGACAAATTATTTCCACAACCATCATACCTGCTGTAAGACAACAGGAGGGTGACGACATGACAAGTGCTGAAGTTTCAAGAAATGTCTGATTTTGCTTTGTCATAATTAGAAAACCATTTTCTCTTTTAATCTTTTAAAGAAGAAAGAACTGTTATTTCAGTTGTAAGAGAAACCTAAACTACAAGTTGAAATTCAAAACAATTATTGTTATTTATTTATCTATTGTATAACAGAGTTCTGTAAATATGCTTTAAAAACAAGCCGATTTCAGGATCATAGGAAAAACTGTGATGGTAAAGATTTTGTGCCACAGCTATGATGACCATAGCCCATGTTAAAGACCATGACTAAAACCATAATATATTTACAGGCAGTCCTGGTATCAATTAATATAGATACAGAAATAACACAATATCTTCTATTGAGTCCTTTTCAAAAGTTGCATTTTAAAGTTATAAGGAACATGTTATTTTTTTAGTATCAGTGGAAATAGTTATACATTTTGTAAAATACCAGCTCAACAGATCGTGTGTGATTTTGATATAATTCAATATACACTCACCTGGCATTACATTTTTCTCAATAATACAGTTCTATAATTATACTATTGCTTAATATTAATATATATTTTTTGTTGCTTACCTAAGCTAATATACAGAAAAAAATGCTTTTAAAAAAACATAGTTTTTACATGTTAATTTAACAATTAATGCTTTAAGCAAAATGAGTATAAGAATTTGCTGTGAAAGTCTTTTTTAAACTGTACTATATGTCTCTATTCAAGGGAATCCACACATTCCTGTTAAATCCTAGTTCATGATCGAACTGAAAATGTTTTACAAAATTTAGCCCTGATTCCCATTCAACACCCAGTTTCTACTAAGTCACACTAAGCATGTGTCAATTGACAATTTACGTGGTATGGGGAACGGTTTTGTAGTTCCTCATTTTCACGGCAGTAATTGAGAGCTTTGGTCTGGAGTACAACCCCAATTTACGAGATCGAAAACCAATATTTTACAGTTCCTGAAGGCTCTAGACTCTTACTTTGATTTACAGTTTAGCTTTATTTTAAAGTTTACATATTGCCAAAATACTGTTAAGAAATTAGAACCCACTATTAAAAGAACTGGGAGACTGGTATAAAAAAAGAAACTGATTTCTGATTTAACGACCCAGCTTGTTTTCCATCACAGGAATTTATGTGATGGAAAAAAAAAGCCCCGTCCCTTTGTAAATACTAGGGACCGGTGTACACTCATAATGTAAACGAGAAATCCTGTTTACGCTTTTAAGGAGTAAGGGCCACACACCCATTTAAAAAATGACGATGGTCTGATTCACACTCATCATGTAAGAGATTCACAATTAAATTAAATTTAACTCGGGTTCTGCGTATGTTAAAACTACCCTCAGTACAACAGCCTCAACAATTTTATATGGGCAAATGTTTGCAAAAACAACAGAATGCATATACAGTTCTTGAGCTGCGCAGACAAAGCTAGCTCTGCTGGTCTTGATCGCAGGAAAATCTGAAAATGCAGTTATGCGTTACATTTCGAAAAAGTTTCTGTCTAGTCAATAAACAAATCATATTTTTTTTCCAACAAAGGCTACTCATCGCTGGAAATAAAAAGTATTACACCTTTCGGGTAAAGTAATTACAGCAGCCAATACTGTTTCATGTTAAAATGTATATCCTGGCTTTAAATGTCGCTCCCTGTTGTCACTGTCCAAAAGCTCAGTGAATATATTCAAAACAAGTAAAACGAGTGTTTAACATTTACAGCTCAGCTGGCTCCCTTTCTGTCTTCCTCCAAGATGACGTCACTCTGCAAGAATAGGCGCTCGGTGAGCCCAGGCCGCTAATGTTTATATCAGTTTCGCCGGGTGAGTAATCTTCGGTTTTACGGGAACACGATGTGTCACCCAGACAGAAAGCGCAAATGATCATCATTGATTTTGACTTTTCTGCAGTACCCGTTCCCTATGTAATCTATTGGTAGAGGAGGGGTTTCGCTGTAGTTGTCATTTTCTCATTTCTCAGCTGATTGAAGCACTGCTCAAAAACAGAAGAAAAAAAAATGACTCCTTCACTTCCCGGAAAAGGGGACCATCTCCCTCTTCAGTTGCTGGTACATCAGGAGATGGTTTTCTCTCTTAAAGTTGTAATACAGATTTACCGTAAATTGCATCGACAAAACAAATTATCCAATGTGACTGGGTGTATGTACATTACGATCAATAAAGGGGACTGAAAAAAGAGGCATATCTCCAAAAGGACAGTAACATTGTGGGAGACATTTCCATAATTAAACGACTTTTTTATAAACGAAGTGACGTTTTAAGTAAATTAAAAAAATTCTCATTAGGACAAAAGGGAATACAAACATGTGTCTTATGTTTGTTTCTCAAATTATCTGTTTAAATGCAGAACGTTACTTTAGATTTTTAATGTAAATTGCTCAATATAGAATTTACTTTGGAAATATATATATATATTGCAACGTTTAAAGTTTCTTATTTTTGAAATGGAGTACAAATGGAACAAAAAAAAGTACAAATGGAACATTTCAGTAGCGAAATGAATAAATAATTTGTAGCATCATATTCCTTCTTAAAAGTAATATGAAATATGAAAATTTTTATGGAATAACTACCCAGTTAGCAACGTGACAAACTTGATATGCTCATTTTGGCGTCATTGGGCTAATGTTATAGAAACCATGTAATGACCACATGTAAATTTTAACCAAGTCATTTATCCATGGCTAGTGGCTTACTCCCTTACCATGTTCCTTTGTATCTTTCCAATTAGATAACGAAATAATACTGGGCGCAGTAATTTCAGTGTTACCTATCTTGCCTTTGACACATGTTTTGTTTTATCCAGTTCCAGTTCAGTTTACTGTCATATGCAGAAGTGCAATGAAATGCGTATTTGCATGTATTCTCCGATACAAAGACATTAAAGGAATCACCAAAAAAGTACTGTAGACACAGAACAGCAGCAGCAACAACAAGTTAAATAACATACATCTTGAAAAAAAAAACATCAGTGTGAGCCAGTGGTAGGGGTAGAGTTCAGTAATCTGAGTTTGTGGGAAGAAACTGTCTCTGAATCTGGACGTTTGTGTCTGGTTGACAGGTTTTACTCTGATAACATTTTCACATTCTCACTGCACTCCAGTGTGCATATGTAAAATTTCACTTGCTTACAAATGAGTCAAAGGTCAAATTGCTTTTAGGCAACCAGTTAAATTAAAACTCATCTGAAGTGAATACTGAAGGGTTTGTGGAAGGAGGTTACCAAGCCTTTTCTTGGACAGATGACATCATACATTTCTCCCACGCGACTGTAAAGCGCATTTGGTAAACATACATATAAAAATAGCGCCATATAAATGATGTGTAATAACATCAATAGAATTTCCATTAGGTTTCACAACATCAGGTACAGTATATTAATTTGTAACTATAGCTTTAGTTTGACATTGATGTTGGAATCAGTCCATACATTCAGCGCAGGAATCTCGGTTTAGCTTTAAAATCAGCTTTGCATTTGGAACTCCTGTTTGCAATGTTGAAACGTGTGAATGTATGAAAGGTAACTTTGTAATTTTTGTAATTTACTCATGTCTTTCTCACTCTGATGCAAACAAGCCAATACGTGTACAGGTAGGTATTTCTTGATTTCGGGCTTGATGACTGTAACACAGTGCTTGCTGGTTATTTATGTATTAAGTTGCCTCAGAGCTCAAGTGCTAACGTAACCAAAACTAAAATATAGAAGTTAAAAAATTCTCCTATTTTACCTTGTCTGCTCTTGCATTTCAGAATGAAATGCATTTCAGAAGAAAACTTAAAATATCAGTGCCCTCCTTTAAAGGCCTGAATAGACTCCTGTTTACATCAGTGAACTGTTATCTCCCAGTACACCTACACATCATTTGCATTGTTTGGACTCTGGCCTTCTTTCAGTTCCCAGAATCAGGCTTCAAACTTTGGTTTGCTTTGCTTTCTCTTCTGCTGCTTCAAGGCTATGGAATGATCTCACAGCCCATATTAGGTCATTTTGGTTGTTTTATACTAAAGAGCTCTGATAAGATGTGTCATGAAAGGTGCATTACAAAACAAATCTGATTAATTTCCAAAATGGAAAGAGATGTACAGTAACAAGTGTAACACGTTTTGTACTGTCTTCCACACTTTTTATAAAGAACAAAGTCAGCTTTGCTCTCAAACTTGCAATTTCAACTGATGAACCCCTCAAACAATTACAGCCCAGGGGAATAAAATAGCACTTTATAAAGGAAAGTTTACAGACAATGACAGTAATGCAGAAAAGATAAAAACAATATGACAAATATTATTTAAACCACATAATAGCTGATGAGTTGAAATTATTTAGATTTGTAATGTATGGGAGATCAAAAGTCTTTTTTTTTCTTTTGAGAGATAAAGAAACACCTTCAATTTTATTAGAAATCTCAGTCCACTACAAAATACCTTTTCAATGCATTTGTGGGGTATTTCTGGTGCATTTGAATATAAGAATGGTGGCAAATAAGAGGAGGATATTCAACCCACCCCAAACCCAGGGTATCGACTTCAACAACACAGCTGGGTAGTTTATTCCATATCCTCTCAACCCCTTGGTTAAGGAGTGCCCTCTTTTCTCAAACCTAAATGCCACTTGTGTCTTGTGTCTTATGGTTCATGTGTTATTGATGAATCTGAGGAAGTCCTCCATGTTGTATTCGTCAGTGCCTTTGAGGGTTTTGAATATCTGGATCTGGTACCCTCAAAGTTTCCTCACCCAGTCTAGTGTGTCATTAAACAAACAAGGCATGAGAGGTTAAATCAATTCTAATATGTTACATTTTGCAATTGATCTATCCTATTTAATCAATCAATGGATTATGTCAAACCTTTAAAACGCTACATGATAGACTGCTGGATGGGACACTTAATGCAAAGCAGGGACCCAGAAAGATTCCATCAAGCTGTGAATTAAAATGTTTCTGTGGGCAGCTTTGGGTTGAAATTCTGTCAGAGGTTATCTTGCATTTCTGAGGTATGAACTAACTGATGTTTAAAGCTTGCACAACATTGGGTAATAATTACCATGAGTTACTTCAAGGGACACTGTGGAATTAAGAAAGAAAATTGAAACACAGTCATAGCTGCTGTAAATCTGAAACTTATTCTGTTTCTTTTAAATGACAACTCGCAGATAGAGCAAAGGGACTGTATGTGAGGAATGAAAGTCAAAGAACTGTCTTTGATGAGGTTAATGTAGTTAACTTTAAAAAAAGACACACTGCTACCACTGGAGGCTGATACTCCACAATCCCTTCCTAGTTCCTTAAAATGCATAAAAACTGACATGACAGAAACTCAACAGAAACATGCGTTTTACTATGCAACTCTCACTATTGCTTTAACTGTGAATTGCAAATATTAAAATTCTCTCTCAGGCAGCTGGAAGGGTCTTTTTTAATACCCTAATAAACAACAAAAAGTATATATAAAAATACAAGTATTGTATAATCTTAAACTTGTTTGAGAAAAATTATATCTTAGAATAATTTCTGAAAATCATAGATACATGTGAAAACAGTAAGAACTATAATATATTTTGCTGTACTTTAGTTGCATCTAGGTTTCAAGGATATTATTATTAAACAGACTGCAGGTTAAGTTCCTGTCTATCTGATATAGATACAAACTAACAATTAAATGTTTTTTAAACATTCTAACTGACAAATGCCAGATTTCTCTGGTACATGGTATACTGACTGTTTTAAGTTGTCTGGAGAGTAGCATTACATTTTTGCCTAACTAAATTGGCTGTATAATGTATATATTCCTTATTGTTCACTTGCCACACTTCACTTACTGGATTTAAGTAATACCTTCTACTACTACTCATATTAATAAGAAATAAACAAAGAAAGAAACAATTAGTATAAACGCAATAATCTGTTCAGAACATAGGTAAACGTCTTATTTCGAATTACATCAGAAACTATCTTTGAAAGCAATGTCAATAATATAATCATATAATTATTTTTAAAAAGTTTTACAGGTTCTTCTGAATTTCTTTCAACTTTAAAGCTCTTTTATCTTAGTTTATGTGACTAATATGTATTACCGTATATTACTTCATTTAAATTTTTGTGTCATCAGTTGCCCTTGTACTTTCGCTATGATAAGATAACTTTATTGGCCATATACAATGTCTTGCATTAGGAATTTGTCTTTTCACATACCCCAGCTTGCTCTCCATGAGACACACAGACAGGGAGAGAAGCTTGGGGTCAGAGCGCAGGGTCAGCCATTGTACAGCGCCCCTGGAGCAGTTGGGGTTAAGGGCCTTGCTCAGGGGCCCAATGGAGTAGGATTCCCCTGCCAGCCACAGGATTTGAACCAGCAACCCTCCAGCCAAAGGTGCAGATCCTTAGCTTTACTGAGAGGTAACAATAAAGATAACTTATGTTCTATTGTAAAGAACATAACCATTTAAAAGCATTTCGCAAGATTAAAACAGTTTGTTTTACACCCCTCATCAGGCTTTTTTGATTGGGAGGAACAGAAAGAAAATGTTAACCAGGGGTGCAGTATTTTATGTGCACACAATTTTATCATATAATATGTCCAGATTGTGGTTATTAGTAATTATTTTAATAATAACAACTCATTACTATAAGAAAGTACATTTACATTTGGTCCACTGAACAACATGATCTCAGATAACTGAAATCCTTGATGTATACAGTTGATTCACTGGCTATCCCTCATGGTCAAGAATGACACCCTTCCATGAACCCATCATGAAAGGTGACTGATAAAACCAATTAAGGATCCTGAATAGCAGGTTTGAACGG